GGGCGGCGGCAGCCTCGCGGCGGCGCTCGCGGGCGAGAGCAGCTGGCGGCGCTCGCCGCTGGGCGAGCTGCTGACCACCGCGCTGCCCCGCGACCTCGCGATGCCCGAGTCCTGCGCCGAGGTGCTCGGCCTGCTGCAGCTCCTGGAGGCGGCGTCCCGCCTCGGCCCCCGCGCGGCGGCGTGCCTCGAGCTGTCGCCCGGCGCCGGCCCGGGCGCCCGCGCGGCGCTCGCGGCCGTGCCGCGCGAGGAGTGGGTCAGCAGCAAGCTGGGGTCGAAGCTGGCGCAGCAGCTAAAGGACGTGCTCTCCATCTGCGGCGGCGGCCTGCCCGCCTGGTGCCGCCAGCTCGTCGTCGGCGCGCGCTTCCTCTTCCCCTTCGAGGTCCGCCGCCGCTACTTCTACTCCACCGCCTTCGGCCTCGCGCGCGCGCTGCAGCACATGCAGCTGCAGCAGAACGCGGAGGGCCTTGGCGGCGGCCTCGAGCGCGACAGCCGGGAGCTGCGGATCGGGCGGCTGCAGCGGCAAAAGGTGCGGGTCAGCCGGCGGCGCATTCTGGACAGCGCGGTCAAGGTCATGGAGCTGTACGCGCGCAACAAGGCGGTGCTGGAGCTGGAGTACTTTGGGGAGGTGGGCACTGGCCTGGGGCCGACCCTGGAGTTTTTCACGCTGCTGAGCCACGAGCTGCGCCGCAAGGCGCTCGGCATGTGGCGCCACGAGGACGCGGGCGGCGGCGGCGGCGGCGGCGGCGCGCAGCAGCAGCGCGGGGGCCGCGGCGGCGGCGGGGCGGCGGAGCGGCAGGAGAAGCAGGGGAAGCAGCAGCAGCAGCAGGTGGTGGTGGCCGCCGGCGCCGAAGAGGCGCCGGGCGCCGCGGCAGCAGCGGAGAGGGCGGGCGGCGGCGGCGGCGGCGGCGCGGGCGCGTTCAACGCGCACGCGAGCGCCGCGCAGCTCGCGGAGGAGGCCGCCACCCACGACTCGGCCGACGGCGGCGCGGGCGAGTTTGTGTACGCCCCCTGGGGCCTGTTCCCCGCGCCGCTGCCCGAGGCGGCGCGCGGCGGCGCGGCGGGGCAGCGGGTGGTGGAGCTGTTCCGGCTGCTCGGGCGCACGGTGGCCAAGGCGCTGCAAGACAGCCGGCTGCTGGACCTGCCGCTGTCGCACCTCTTCTTCAGGTGCGGGGCGCGGCGCCTGCCTCGGGCTTTTGGGAGAGGGCGCTGGTCGTACCCATTCTGCGGTGCCTCTCGCCCTCGCATGCATGCTTCTGCAACGAATCCAGCCTGCGGTGTGCGGCCGTGCGCGCTGGTCGGCAGTGGACCACACAGCCCTGGGGCTTGGGTCAGCAGAGGGGTTCCCACCAACATACCGTCTCGCCAACCTGGCCGCAACCAACCGTGTCCATTTACAACCACCCCAGGGCGGTTATGGGGCGCCCGCTCGACCTGTACGACGTGGCGGCCATCGACCCCGCGCTCGGCCAGAGCCTGGAGCGCCTCGCGGGCGCGCTGGCCGCGTGGCGCGCGGCGGGCGCGGCGGGGCCGCTGCTGGTGGACGGCTGCCCCGTGGAGGACCTGTGCCTGGCCTTCACGCTGCCGGGTGAGCGCGGGCTCGGAGGCGCGCCAGGCGCCTGGTGCTTTTTTTGGTTTGCAAAATTTCACTTTGTGTTATGCTTCTGGGTCCTGCCTGCGTCCTGCCTGCGAGTCCTTGTTTGGGCACCACAAGCCAGCTTGCACGCAGCGCCCCCGTCCCACTGGCTGCCCTGGTCACCCAGCCCCGCTGCGCTCACCCCGGCGCCCACTCCTCTGCACCCCCGACTCACAGGCTACCCCGACCACCCGCTGCGCCCCGGCGGCGCTGACGTCACTGTGGACGCGGCCTCGCTCCCTGAGTACCTGGCGGCGGTTGTGGACGCGACGCTGGGGGCCGGCGTGGCGCCGCAGCTGGGGGCGTTCAGGGCGGGGTTCCAGGAGGTGGTGCCGCTGGCGGCGCTGGAGGCGTTTTACGAGGACGAGATCGAGGTTGGCGGATGGGTGGGATTTGGGGCTTTTGGTGCGAGCGCCGCCGAGGCAGGGTGGACGGGGGGCTTTGATGTGTAGGGATGACTGCCGCCGAGGCGGGGCGGGTGCGCCAACGTCGGCGGCGGCGCCGAGGGGTCTTTCTGGGGTGCTCCACCGGACAGAGGTTGGATCGGGTCTGCGCTTGGCCGCAGGATCCCCCCTCCCAGGCCCTCGCACGTCCCGACGCGTCCACACCCGCCCGGGCGCTGACCCTCTGCGCTCCGCCGTCGGCCGCGCCGGTTGCCTCCCGAACCCAGGTCCTCCTCTGCGGCACCGGCGAGCGCTGGACGGTCGCCCAGCTGGCCGACGCGATCAAGTTTGACCACGGCTACACCGCCAGCTCAGCGCCGGTGGTGGCGCTGCTGGAGGTGCTGGCCGAGCTGGAGCCGCCGGACCAGCGCCGCTTCCTGCGCTTCGTGACGGGCTGCCCGCGCCTCCCGCCCGGCGGCATTGCGGCGCTGCAGCCGCGGCTGACGGTCGTGCGGAAGCACCCGGCGGCGGCGGCGGGCGTGCCTGCGACAGCGGCGGCGGCGGAGGGGGGCGGCGGTGGGGCGACGCCTGGCGGCGAGGCGGGGTTGATTGCGATGCTTGCTGACGGGGACCTGCCGAGCGTCATGACGTGTGCCAACTACATCAAGCTGCCGCCTTACTCATCCAAGGCCGTGCTGCGGTCGCGGCTGATGCGTGCGCTTACAGACGGGTTAGGCAGCTTTGATTTGTCGTAGGCATTGTGTTTTGGCTCAGTAATGCAAGTTGTCAAAAGGCAAATTCTATGATGACGTCATCTAGGTGTCATCATCTGGGCGTGTACACATGCAGCAAAAGCATGCGGCAGCAAGGGGGAGAGGGCAGTCCGTCGCGCAACGCTGCTGCTGCCGAAGGGGCTCTCAAAACCCGATCTGCAGCGAGCTTCGCTGAGCCCATTGCTTGCGAGTCACACGCAAGCAGCAGCATGTGACAGCATGTTGCGCACAGTGGCCGTACACCTCACAAGGATACCGCCGGTACCGCCGCTCGTGCGATCCACAGCTTAACGTTTCCATCGTTGCTGAAGTCAAGCAGGGGTCAAATTTCCTAGCCCACGGGTGCGGCCCCTTACGCCGTTGTGCCATGTCGCCAGGGAGGTACGAAGGGTCGCTGGTGACAGCCAGCCTGGCCAGCTTGACTACAGCCCCACTGATTTAGAGGCCGCGCGCCGTGGTGCCGCTACGGGCGCTGCTTTTCTGGGTTGCCACCATCGTCGCTGCCGACGCCGCCAGCTTCCACGCCTGAGCCCTCACTCCAAACGCTGCCTCTGCCAGCGCTGCAGTCACTGTCTCCACCACCCTGCTCGCTCGTCCCACCCCAATCGTGCGCTGGTCTGCACTGCGCACAACGGCACGCACACATGTACAGGCAGGTTTGCAAGCAATTGCGCAAAGCGCGTGGCACGCAGGTCCGCATGTGCAGGGCATTGGGTGACTAATGGGCATCTACTATAGCTTGCAGCAGGCCTGCTGGCCACTATGCTGGCCAGAACAAGGGGGTGATGTGAATATATTCACACTTGGTACCCAGAGGGTTAAGCAGAGCATGTTCACCCGTTTCATCAAGGCCCAGGTCGCAATGGGGGCAGTAGGTGGGGGTGTTGTAATGCAAGGTTGGCGACGCCGCAAAGGGAGGAGAGTAGCAGCGCAGACGCGTGAGCGGTTGTGCATGTGGGTGGCTCCATAAACGGGGCGTGTGGCGAAAGCATTAGGGCATGCGAAATGGGAAGCCGGCCTCAGGCACTTCATCAGCATCACCAGCGGGCCTGGGGGCCTTCGTGCACGCCTGCTTCGAACGGCGCACGGTAGCCACCTGAACTTGTTTGTAAAAAGTCACACAACGTTGATGCTTCAATGTTCAATCCCATGCGCCTGGATGGCTCCAGGAGCGGGCGACCGTGATCAGTTGACAGTCGAGGCAGTGCTCAGAGCACTGCTCCCACTGTCTGCAGTGCTTTGACCAATGTTTGACCAAGTGTTGACCATGCAGTCGCTCGCTGCTGCGATCTCTGACACAGCATTCCGATTTTGGCATTTGGCATGTGCACAAATGTGCTGGGGCATGTCCCTACTTGGCAGCCCAGGTAAGGTGGAGGTGTTCCGCCAAAGTGGTTATCGCCTGTACGTACAACCGTCGCCTCATGATCGCCTTGGAACCCAGCTGCATGCTGTATACCCTGACGTAATCCTTCACCTCTGCTCGCAGCTGACGATGCATTACTAACCCAACCGGTCTAACCCCAGTGTGAACCAAACATGTGTGAATGCAGGCGTTGCTGGGATAGCTTACATCTGATAGGTCTTGGCTTTCGATGCGCGCCGAAGTCCTATATGGCGCTGATCGCAAGCTTGTCTCATAGGTAGGGCTGCGCCAGGCCGTCCAGCTGTGTTACTGCAACATTCTCCTTACGATCGCTACTTGGCAGGGCCAGAGCCTAGTGGGGTTACAAGTGCTGTCCAAAGGGCTTGAATTTGTACAAGTGACACTGCCCTTGTGCCTTTCATAGACTTGCAGCAAAGCCATGTACGTATTCAATGCATGCACGTGTGTGGCCAGGCCACGACGACAAACTTGTGAGATACCAACAAGCTCCTGCTCTACATCGTGATGACCACGTCCACAACAACAAAATAAACTGTTCACAGCCATGCACATCGTTGATAATCCCCCTTGGCGGCAACAACTGGCCATGACCACTTTAAGTCAGGCAGCGATCTTGTACGTGGCGGCCCCGCATCAGTCATGAAGCCTTGAGGATGAAAATTGGCATAGCAGAATGGTTTAGAATGGGCACATGCTACGCAGTCGTCCGCTTATTGTATTTGGGGGGCAATCACACTGCTTAGATGGCAAATCTTCATTCGGGCAATGTATACTGACTAAGCAAGGCACAGACGATGCTGAATGAGATGCAGCTGGAATGCCTGTGCAGCGGCGTGGCCATCACAAGGGCAATGCAACAAATAAACACCGCATGTGCCAACTGGCTTACCTCTGCTTTTTGGCACTGTGCCTCTGGAGAAAGCGCTGCAGCTCTTCCTTTTGGGAGTTCAACATGTGCACCAGTCGCATCAAAACAGGCCGGACCTGCTCTGCGGCAGTTTGGGCAGAAGAGTGTTTCGACAGATGCACCACGATGGTGTCTGTAGACAGCAGCTGCTTGCTAGAAGCCAGGTACTTGTGAAAGCTGTAGGTGACGCCGTTGGTGATGATTCCATAAGAAGGGACCTGCCAGGTTGGCGTGATTGTAGAATTCAGGGCACTGGTAGCACAGTGCAGCACAACAAAGCACACAGCGACAGAGAGCACAGCAATGCAGATAGCAGGGCAGGTTGAAGCGCAGCGTCACAGCACATATCAACAGCACAGATCAAGTCAAAGCATAGTGCAGGCAAGCACAGCACAGCGCCCCACAGCAGGGAGCAGATGACGACACAGCACAGCAGGCGACGGAGCAAAGCGCAGCATAGCAATAGAATCAGACATTACAGCACAGTACACAAGACCAAAGCGCAGCATAGCAAAGGGCAGCGCAGCCCAGAGCAGAGCACATCAGAGCAGAGAAAAGGAGGGCAGATCACAACACAGGGTATCAAAGCGCGTGGAACAGAGCACACATGAGAAGAAAGCATCAGAGCAGAGCAAAGCAGAGAGGGGCACAGCAGAGCCGAACACAATCCAACATGGCACAGCAGAGCGAGGCAGGGCAGAGCTAAGCGCAGAGCACGGCACAGCAGCAACCTCAACAGCGCCATGCATCCTGGAGCTTGTCAACCTCCAGGTGCCTACCTCCATCATGGCGTCCACAACCTCGCGTTTGCACTTGCCAAGCCGGCTGAAAGCAAACGCATCTCTGGTAGACTTGATCTCTGCAGCAAGCTGGCCCACATACTGGTCAAACGGGTAGTAGAGCTTGGCCTAGCACACAACATGCAAGCATAAAACAGTTGCAGTTTGAGCAATACGAGCAGACCATGGGTTGTGCCACTGTAAGTGGGCAATGGTGTCGTCCACATAAAAAGGACCAATGCGGACCAGCAGGTATCATGCTCTAAATCTTGCTTTGTTCAACATTGAGGGCAAGGGGATGGCTACCACACGACATTTGCACTGGAGACAACCACCCACCGGTCGACGGCATACTTCAGCTGGGCATGACCTACATCTATGTCAGATGATGCTCACCTCCACCACCACAACGCTGAAGTCCTTGAAGTTCATGACCCAGTCCACAGTGCCATGTGCCTCCACTCCTGCCACGCTGTACTCAGCATGCATCTGCACCTCCCCAGCGAGGAGTGCTGCCGCTGCCAGCACGGGGCTTATCAGCTCACGACATCCAGCCTCTTTGGGGTTCTCTCGTGGATGGCCGACAAAGCAGCGAACAGCAAGCTCCTTGCCGACGTGCCGCACGATATCGCCAGCCACATTGAACCCAGTGCATTGCTGCACAGCTGCTGGCAGGTGTGCGCCATCTTCAAAATCCTCTCCTGGAAAGGGGTCATCATCTGGCTTGCTGATGCTAAGCACATCCAGCAGCCGCAGGCCATCCTCCTTGGTCACTTTTGTGAACGGCACCCGTACGCTCACCACCTGCAGCAGCACGGCGGCACATGTCGGGAAATGCACTGAACGACAAGGGGGTGATGGGCTGACACTACCAAGCCAAAGGCCACGCACTTGCCGTCCAGGCCCACAAGTGATGAGAGGAGTTGACGCACGGGATCTAAGCAGTGGGAGCTAGAGCTGTGAAGTGAAAGGGGGATCCACTCTGTGGTGTTAAGTGCATTGAAAAAGTCATGTGTGCAACCCGCTGGGGTTGCTTCCCTCTCCCCCCCTCTTGCGTCAATATATCCCACACCCTCCACCCTCAGCATTCCCTGTTCCACCACCCCTTTCCCTTGGCCCCCTGACTCTGCCCTTGTCTGCTCTCCTTGCCAGCCTCGCCACACATGCCATGCCATCTTAAGTCCTGCCCTTCTCTGTCCCTCCACCTTTCCCAAGTCCTCCACCCTTCCTGCATGACTCACATTGACTGCAAACTCCAGGCTCAGTTTGCTGCGCAAGATCTCCCAGGCTTCAGCATCGATGACCATGTTGCCATGCTTCAACATGAAGGCCTCAGAGGCAAACCGTGGGAAGAGCTCCTCGACCTTCCTAATCAGCTGGTCATAAGTAGGCGCGCTGCGAAACACGACGCGCCGGGTATTGTTGGCATGCACAAAGGCCATCTGGATGCTGTCCTCTGCAAGGTGATGTGCAACAACATGAGGTGAAAGCAGCCGCCAACGTTGCGGAGGAGGATGCGATCCCTACCAGGGCACCATAGGCGACGCGTGCTTGCTGCAAAATGTGCCCAAAGCTACGGGGCGCACGGCATTGTTTGTGCTTGCCAGGCGCAACTGGGTCTGGAACCAAGTTGGCACTTCCACCAAAAATAGCAACGTTTGCTGCAGCCACGCCCCAGCTGCAGCCATTAAAAACATGGTTGTAGAAGAAACGCACCTGATGCTCCTCGTCCTGTGCCTGGACAACAGTGAGGGACAAGATGGTGGACGGAAAAAGGCGTCATATGAGCACCGTGAAGGAAGCCAGCAGGTAGGGGGACGCAGCATGAGCGCAGGGCAGGGGAGGTGAGAAGAGGGGGGAGGGGAGCAGCAACATGAGAGGCATGTTGTCATGGGCTTACAGTGAAGAGGATGAGGCGAGTTGGGCACAGCTGCGAACCCAGCCGCACGAATGGCAAACAGGGCTGGTGCTTGATTACTTCATGCACCACAAGCAATTCCCCGGTGGTGCAAGTTGGCAAAAAAGCAAGCACCATTGAAAACCACGCGTGACTAACCTGCTGCTGCTGCTGTTGCTGCCGTGGGTCGATGGAGGAAGCCCAGGCGGAAGCCATGGAAGGTAGAGAGAGAAGGGCGCAAACGCAAGGTCAAGCAGCCTTGTAGGCACAACAGGAGGCGTGCAGCACAATTTTGGGGCTGCAGAGCTGCCGGCTGCTGTGGAACCACCCAAGCATGCCGCATAACAGTGCTCCGCAAGGTTGCTGTAAGCAGGCCCTGGTGAAGCGTCATGCCCTTGCTTGCTGCAAAGACGATCAGCAGACGATTTGCTAGTTGGCTAGCTGACTGGATGCATGCAATGCACTGCAACGGGAAGGGGCGAATCGGTAGCTGGCATGTTGCACATGGTGGTGCATTCGGTTGCCACTGACAAGTGGCACTGCTGCTGCATGGATTCACAGCTGCTCCACATGCAATGGCTGGGGATACAGGGTCTGCAGACTTGCCACCAGCAACATTGCAAACCCTGGCAGCATATCACCTGCTGCTGTGAATTATTTGCAGAGGCCCAGGCGAAAACCGTTAAGGGGAGGTAAGAAGGGGCATGGTAGCTGTGAGGAAACCCAGCAGGTGAAAAGAAACGAGACGGGATGGGCGGGTATGCAGAGCAGCAGGTGTGCGGGCGCCGTCAGCAATGGCACTCAGGTGGCATAAATGAGTCGCACTCACAGGCTGCACTCACAATGGCAGCCAGGAAATCAGGCTGAATGCATAGCAGAGCCAGCAAGCCAGCAGGCTGTATTATGGATTGCAAGCAGTGCGCCTCACCTGCAGCTGCGTCTGCCGCACGGACAACAGTGACAGCCGGGATCGAGGATACCACGTGGGCATCAGGAGAGGGGCCAGCAGGTCGTGGTGCATAGCATGTGGGGAGGAGAGCAGCATGGGGAAGAGGTGAAGGGCAGCAGCGGTATACAAGCAGTGTCGGCTGGCAAGCTTATGGTGCACACGTGGCGCTCGCTGCCGTGTAAGTGGCACCACAGCAGTACCACGGGAACCACCTCCCTCTGCCCCTTAGCACCCTCAAGGACTTTTGAATACGTAAGACACAGTGTGCAGTCGCTGCTCCGCGTCAACGTATCACAAAAAGGCCCACCCACCCCGCACAGCTGCCTGGATGGTGGCCTTCCTGTAGGGCTCTGCCATGGCCAGCAGGTCAGCAGCCCAATCCTCGGTCTTGTGGTAAATCATTTCTGCTGCAACACCGCAAAAGTCAACATTGTGGTCGCCTGGAAACAGCGCAGGCAATGCCCACAACAGCTGCAGCCTTGAACTTGGCGTGTCCATGGCGACCGTGGCCTGCGCACGCTACGCGCGGCGGAGGACTGTGCGTATATATATATATGAGGAAGGCAGCACAAATATGCATGAACGCAATAACATGCTGGCATTGTAACCAGCATGGCGATAAAGCCAGCATCAGGCTGGGGGCCGCACTGCACGTCTTCGCAGGCACTGAGTGCAGCCAGCAGCAGCTGGCGCTGGTGCTGTAGGTTGTGCGCCGGCCGTGCAAAGCATGGCCCCCAGCCAGCGCACGCACCTCGCAGCACCTGGGCACCCCTCCCAAAAGCTCCTCCCGGAAAGACTGCAGCGCAGCACGCAGACAGGGTTGGCCGAGAAGGCCAGGATGAGCTCCTCGAAGGCGCGAGGGGACACAGATCTATGCGTGCGCCCGTCGCCTGCTCCTAGGCCGCCAGCAGCAAGGGCCTAGCGCTAGGCAGTGCACAGCCTAGCGAAGCCTGGAGGTGCAAGTGCCTGCTTACCCAAACTCGCCACTGGGGCCGAACCCGGCACGTTTGCCTGCTCTCGATAGCACCTACAGCTCCAAGTGCGGAGGAAGTGGCGAAGGGGCTGAGAACTGAAGTGCAGTCGAAGTGTCCGGAGAGCAGTGTGTCCGCTGAATACACCTTCACAACAAATCAACAAGCGGAATTGACGAGATCGACGAGCTGGCATGATAATTCTGACAGTATGGTGCAAGGCGTGTGCCATGCAGCTGCAGCTGCTGCAACAGCAAGTGCTTCCTTGCTTCATACGTAATGTGGGTTCGTTGAAGCGTGGGTTGAGTAGAGAATTAAGCCTCACACGGCTGTATGAAGGCATGCAAAGGAGGAGAGCAGCAGCGCAGACGCATGAGCGCCCGCGCGTGTGTGTGCCAGAAACAAGGCGTGTGGCGAAAGTCGTAGGGAATGCGAGATGGGAAGCCGGCCTCAGGCACTTCATCAGCATCGCCAGCGGCGACGTTAGCCTCGTACTCGCCCCCCCTCTGGGCAGCCTGCGCGGCCCGGTTTGCCAGCGCATGGTCACATATGGGTTCAGGGTTTAGGGTTTGCGTGCATGCAATCCCAACCCTCCCCACTGCTTGCGCACTCCCGCCATCGCCGTTGGGCCATAGTCCAAGGTGTTCTGCACCCCCGCCGCATACGCCGCCATAAAGGCGCCCGGGGTGCCCCCCTCGCTCGGGTGCCATCCAATGAAGCACAACCACCCAAGCGGCGTTCCAGGTGCGACGTGCCTGCGCCGGGCGCTGAGAGCGGGCAAGGGAAGGGTCGCCCGCAAACGCGCTGTACCGGCTGTACCGGCTTGCAGGCAATAATACCTTGGCGTTTAATCGAAGCGTGAGGGGCCCACGACAAGCAAGCGCGCAGCGCTGTGCCGCCCAAAAAAAAGGCATGGCGTAGCCAAGCTGTTGCTGTTGCGGTCGTGAATCACATGGCTGCTTGCATCGCTGCCTCCACGGTTGCCACCCACCCTGCTACTGCTGCTTCTGCTGCTTTCCGTGAAAAAGCAGCAGCAGCAGCAGCAGCAGCAGCAGCCGGCTCTTGTCCCAAACAAGCAAGTTGAAGGATGTTTTTGTAAAAAGGCTGATGAGGTTACTTGCATCACCACCGCCACCCTGCAGGGGGGGACATTTGCGTACGAGGATGAATTGCAGGTGATGGAGGTGCCAGGGCGGACCGCGAGGGGTTATTGCAGGTGTGGGTCAATTTGTTAGGCAGCGCTGTGCGCGTCTGTGTCTAGTAATGATGAGTCAGTTTTATTTCTGATATATTATGTGTTTTCAGGATATGAGTCCCTGGTGTAAGGGACCTGCTTTTGGTTGATTGTGCACAACTGTGAAGTTTGGTGTGAACTATGTGGAAGCTTCCTGTACGTCTGACTCACACACAAGCATGTATTACGATACGATGTGGCATGTGTGAGCGGAGCTGAAAGAAGCTGTGACTCAGTGGAAGGTTCTGCATTGGATTACTAATGGATGATGAAAGGTTTATGAATGGCAGCTTCCACTGGAAGGTGGAGCTGCACTTGATTGACTTCAGAGTATTAATAGCAAGCACAAGGCTTGCTGACACATCATTCGTCTATTATCGTTGTTGTCGTACTAACTCACAGCGCACCGTGTAACGAGTCTCCTCAATTCGGCTGAGGTTGTGGCAGCGACAGTTCCGTCAGCCGCCGGCGTCGCGAGTCAGCAGCCAGTGCTGACTTGGTTGTATCTGCCCTCCACGCATCCGACAGCCGCAGGCAGCGAAAGCTGTGTCAGCAGACCGAGTTGGAGTCAGCAGACAGCGTCAGCGCGTCAACGCAGCCGCCGCCCTGCGCCTTGCACAAATGCAGGTGACAGAGCAATCCCAGGCGAGGGGTTTTTGCAGGTGTGGGTCAATCGCAGGTGACAGAGCAAGCACAGGCGAGGGCGGGTTGCAGGTGAGGGGCAATCGCAGGTGACGCTGCAATTTCAGGCGAGGGTGATTGCAGGTGTGGGTCAATTGCAAGGGATGGAGCAACTGCAGTCGAGGTTATTGCAGGTGATCGAGGAGGGTCAAAAACAGGTGAGGTTCAATCGCATGTGGATGAGTGCAAGGGTCAATACAAGGTGAGGGCTGATTGCAGGCAAGAGTCAAACGCAGGTACGGCAATGGTCAATAGAAGGTGATGGAGCAATCTCAGGCGAGGGGTGATTGCAGGTGAGGGTCAATCCCAGGTGACGGAGCAATCCCAGGCGAGGGGTTATTGCAGGTGAGGGGCAATCGCAGGTGACGCTGCAATCCCAGGCGAGGGGTTGTTGCGGGTATGGGTCAATCGCAGGTGACGCTGCAATTGCAGGCGACGGGTGATTGCATGTGAGGGGCAATCGCAGGTGACGCTGCAACCCCAGGTGAGGGGTGATTGCAAGTGAGGGGCAATCGCAGGTGGCAGAGCAATCCTAGGCGAGGGGTGATTGCAGGTGAGGAGCAATTGCAGGCAAC